GCTCATAATTCAATTTATAGTTTTAAGTTAATATGTTTTCTTTTAATATTTCCTTTTCTCAGATCATTTTGCTCTTTAGTTGATAGAATTCACTTTTAACCCAAATCTTACTGTATTCTCCTACAGAAGTTGCTTTTCCGGAAATCAGTAGTTTCACCGTAACCATAAACATATCAAATTCCCCATTACAAGACAATTTGAGTGCCTGCAATGCGCCCAGGACTGAAAAATACCATGAGTTAAAAACAAGTTTAATACAGTGCCTGTCTCAAGCTACAGACTGAAGGCACGTATCCAATCAACAATTAGAAAATGAGACAGTATTATAAAAAGTAAAATCCATGCTATCCAGAATCTCTGAAGGACTAAACACTTAAGATAACCGTGCTTTCTAGATAATCAATATATTGCTTGTCCTTTTAAATAACAAAAATTATATTTGGATCATTTTGGATAGAAATCTAAAATATGTTTTTCCAGGGGCTGGCCCAGTGGCATAGCGGTTAAGTTTGCACACTCCTCTTCGGTGGCCCAGGGTTCACCAGTTTGGATCCTGGGCACAGACCTATGCACTGCTCATCAAGCCATGCTGAGGCGGCATCCCACATAAAGCAACTAGAAGGATGTACAACTATGACATAGAACTATCTACCAGGGCTTTGGGGAGAAAAAAGGAAAAGAAAAAGGAGGAAGATTGGCAACAGATGCTAGCTCAGGGCCAATCTTCCTCAAAAAACAAACAAACAAAAAATTACAATATGTTTTTCCTACTTGCATTAACAAGCCATATTGAACATAATTTAATCTTTATTTGATGGTTAAGAATCATAATAAACAGAAATTATAGCACAGAGCTATAGTACAATGATGCTTGGGGCCTAACTCAGTGTGGAGGGCTATAGCATACATCTATGATAGTAATCTCAAATTACTGGGGCGGAGGGGAATTATGATAGAATTTAATTACTTTTTCTGTCTCTTATTTTGTCAGTCTGTCACACAGACATATCACACTACTACAAACGCTGTAAGGGAACAGATCCTGTATCGGGAGAGGGACTAATTTTGATAGAGCACCTACTATATGCCAGGTCTGAGATAAACTCTGCAGTGTGTCTAGCAATCAGCCTGGTACAAAGCAGAAGATGGGTAAACATGTGGCAAGTGAATGGCAATAATGTGGGTGCCTGAGCAGGTCCTCTCCCTTATTTACTGTTTCTAATCTGCCATGGCGGGGGCCGGCCCGGTGGCGCAAGCGGTTAAGTGCGCACGCTCCGCTGCGGCGGCCCGGGGTTCGCTGGTTCGGATCCCGGGCGCGCACAGACGCACTGCTTGGTAAGCCATGCTGTGGCAGCGTCCCATATAAAGTGGAGGAAGATGGGCACCGATGTTAGCCCAGGGCCGTCTTCCTCAGCAAAAAAAAGAGGAGGATTGGCGGATGTTAGCTCAGGGCTGATCTCCTCACAAAAAAAAAAAAAAGAAATAAAGGAAGCTTTTAAAAAAAAATAATAATAATCTGCCATGGCTTGGAAAACAAATACCCAAGCGTAGAAGAACACCATTTAAAATCTGTCTGGCATGGTGCTTTGCACATAGCAGGGGCAGCATGGCACAACTGTATGTGCTGAAGCAAACTCAGGATGGCTAATAGTGAACACTTACAATGTGCCAGAAACTGTGGTTAAGTTTCTTACACACATTACCTAAGACAATACCTATAAGGCAAATAATATTATCCCCATTTTACAGATGCAGAAATGGAAGCTCAAAGTGGTTGAGTAATTTGTATAAAGTTAAGCAGCTAGTGAGTGGTGGCAGTGGAATGTGAACCCAGGCAGTCTGATTCCAGAACAAGTGGTCTTAAGCCTAATATTATATTGCCCCTGAATAAATGTAGGGTAAATAAGTGAAGGTCAGAAGGACATGAAGTGTGTAACAACTTTTTTTTTTTAGTAGAAGTCTTCTTTGCTGACTTTCTGATTCTCAGGTATATTCTCAATTGGTGAGGGTTACTTTATGTAAACATTATACTGACAGGCCAAAGCAACAAACTGTGAAAGCTAGGCAGGCAAAATATGTAAGTCGAAGAGCTACTGTACACTACAGATGGGTTCCAAAGAAGTAGAAGCCTGAGAGATCTGTGTGTATTTGGGTCATTAGGGAGGGCTTTAAGAAGTTAAGACCTAAGCCCAAGCAGTATAAGAAAAAAGGGATGGGCTGAGAGAGGGGGCGTTTTGTAGCTTAAGCCTGAAGCCTTTGTGGAATTGGGGGGGTGGTCATAAATAGATGACCAGACAAATACACACGTGGTTTGGAACATTTACATCCACTGCAGCTGTAAGCTCCTACTCCTGCCAGCTATACTTGGTCCCTCAAACAGCTGGACAAACGTAGGCTCTAGTTGGCAGTACTAGTGGGGTTAGGATATGGCAGCTAATACAAAGGCCAGATCTGGAGCTAGGATTCCACAGCTCTCATTAAATAACGCAGGGTCCTTGAGGTGGGGAGTGTGGGCACAAGGGACCTACCCTCTACTATTTCCAAACCTAAAAAGGGAGGACATGCTGACCTAGGGATTATTTAAATGCATGGTCTCATTTGCTCAGAAATCTTTCAGGCGGTTGAACCAGAGTCACCTCTAATTAATGACACACCTAGTGTAACTAGTGCCTGCAGATCCTCCCTGCCCCTAGGAGTCCCAGGGATAAGAGACTGGGGCAGCTCTTAGGCCATCTACTGTCTCGACAACTGACACGAGCAAATCAGGAGGAATCAGCTCTCTTATGCAAGGGAATAGAGACACTATCTACGCTTTATGAAAGACTGGAATATTCACATGAGGCCCAAAGTAAAAACAGTGTGCTCGGGCCGGCCCTGTGGCTTGGTGGTTAAGTGCGCACGCTGAGATGCTGGTGGCCCGGGTTCAGATCCCGGGTGCGCATCGAGGCACAACTTCTCCGTCCATCCTGAGGCCGAGTCCCACATACAGCAACTAGAAGGATGTGCAGCTACGACACACAACTATCCACTGGGGCTTTGGGGGGAAAAAAAAAATAAATAAAAACTTTAAAAAAAAAAAAAAAAAAAACAGTGTGCTCAACAAAGATTTCCTAGTCTTGCCTAACCACACGGCAGTTAAATCCTCAGTAAAATTTCAACAGTCTCTGAGTGAGAACACTAAGAGTAACTTGACCTGTACTTGAAGGCGGGAGATATGTGAAAGTATCTCACTTCAGCAGGATATGTTGGGGGTTAACATATCTCTGGTGAACCTCCAAATGCTACATCATTCAACTGATTAGAGACAGGCACCTCCAAACTCGTAGAGTCTCTCTCATCTCTCAGACATCAGAAGTGCAGAAATATCAAAGTAATCCAGGTAAGATTCAAAACCCAATTCATGCATTCACAGTACATTTATTCAAGACCTCTGAGTTGTCAGGCACTGATCTAGGGACTGGGAATACAAACATGAGCAAGACTAAGTCACTCTGAAAGATGGAAGTGCACCCATCCATTATTATTTCCCTTGATCACACCCAACCACTCAAGGCTCCAGGCAGGAAGTTCTTCTAGCACCCCACTAACACCAAATAAGTCTTCTTTCCCACTTCCGTGCCTCTGACCATGGTGCGCCCACCTGGAACACTCTCACCATACTTCATCTACCCAAATCCTCACATCTTTCAAAGCCAGCTGTAGTTTCCCTCCTCCTGGAAGCCCTGATCTCCATCTCATTCCAAAGCGATGTCTCATTTCTCTGAACTACTAACAATGACAGTGAGTACCACTATCAGTTTATTTAGAAATTTATCATCCTTTCATTGATACTTTTATTCAACAAATGCTGAGTACCAACTACGTGACAGCATTGTTCTAGGGGCTGGAGAAATCCCAGCAAACAGTACTGGGTTTTGCCTCCCCAAAAGACCTCCTGGGGAGAGTTCTTCTCTTATACTGCTTTTTAAAATTTTCCTCTATAGACCTGAGTTTGTATTCAGTGCTTAATATCTAACAATTTATTAGACCCTTGGGCTTCTTTGGTCCAAGCTCACTTAAATTGAAGTTACATAAACTAATGGGGAACAAAAGCAAACGAAGTCATTTCTACATGAACTTCCACTTCTTAAAAACCTCAAAAGAACAAGGAAGGAAAAGAAAACAGGCTATGAAAGTGCTGCTGAACCAACACATTTTACTCACACTGACAAAGCACCTCCAATCCCCCCTCGGAGTCACACAAAAGTGACCTTTTTTCTCTCAATCCTTACAGCTCCAGATTCAAGCGTTTATTTTAACAACAGACCTTGGAAAAGTTTAACGCATCCCTCAGTTTCCTAAACAAGTCTTTCTGAAGCTTTATTTCTTGATGAATAACCCCCCTGATGAATCCTGCCTATGTCACTTAACAGACCAATCCAGCGAGGTCCACTACGAGGAACTAGAATTTGAGCTTCAAGCAAAAGAGGGGCTCAAAGAACACTTTGAACGTAATAAATCCAGATACAATTTTAATATAAACAACACAAGCCAGGTCCTGCAGAGCCTGATGGAAGGTTCCAAGTCCCCAAAAGAAAGAAATCAAGAGAATTTCCTCCAAGAGAGCCGCGAGATTCTGCAAGGCGTGGGAGTTTCTGCAGGAGGTGAGGGAAATTTAAAATACATAAGTATTTTTTGCTCTAAAGTGGCTTGTGAGCTACGACAGCTGGCACCCTACAGAGGGCGAGGGTGAAGCCGGGCTGTGCCATGCGGTGCAGGCTGCCACCTGGGCACTCCCACCATTCTTCGCAGCCGGGTCAGGACGCGAGACGAGGAGAGCCCGGCGCCGCGCGGACCCGCACCAGCGCCCCCGGCTGTGCGGGCCTCCTGCCCTCGCCCCGGGGCACCCCGCAAACCCACCCCGCCCAGGTCTCAGGAGCCCCGACCTCTCTGGGGACCCAGGAGACGGGCAGGGGAGGTGGGGTCTCCAGGCAGCTGCCCGGCACCGGCGCGTTACCCACCTGAGCAGACTGGAGAGGGGATGGCTCGAGGAGCCGAGGCCACCGCCGCCGCCGCTGCCACCCCCGGAGCCGCCCCCGCCGCCGCCGCCCCCGAAGCCTGAGGAGAGCCGCTTCCCGGACAGCAGCTTCTCCACGGCCGGGAGGTGCCCGGTGCGGGCCGCCTCCAGCAGCTCCTGCTCCTTCCCCATCCCCAGGGCCGCCGCCCCCTGGACCTCCTTGCTGGGGCCGCAGCCGAGCCTGCTCGGGCTCCCAAACTTTCCGTCTCCGGGCAACGCACCCCCCAAACCAGCCGGGGACACCACCCCCCTCCCCCCCCGCCTTTTCCCCCACGCGCGCGTCACTTCCGGGATCCGGCGTCACGCGTCACCGCGCCCCCGCGCCCCGCCCCCTTGCCCACCTAGCTGGGCGGGGCTCGGCGGGGCGCGGCGGGCGGGCGCAGGTGTCTGTGGTCTGCGCGAAGTGGACCCCGCGGTGAGGAGATAGGCCTCCAGGGGCAAGGGGACTGCGCCATGTGGGCACCCACTGTACGGGTGGAAGAGGACAAACGGGGCCCACCTGTATGCGCCTCCCGAAGGGCGTTCCTTCCCCGAAGGTTTTGGGATCCCACAGGACAGGAAATACGGTAATTCACCCAGGCAGTGTAGAAACAAAGAGAGAAATATGGTAACGCGCACCTACATTTCCAAGTCCATTCTTTCAGCACGCATGAATTAAATATGTAATGGGTGTGGGGACCCAGTGATACAGAAGTGAGTAAAATACTCCCCTCCGTACCTCAATGAGGGAAGAGAGGAAAAATTTTAAATAGAAATATCCCCACTTCTTCATGCTCCCAATCCCTGACACGGCTCGTTAAAGTGACAAGTTCAAAGGAAAGACCTCCCTCCCAGTAGCATTTGTTTCCTCTTAGTTTTGCTGAGATTAAGCAAACTGACATAAAAAGTCAGATTTGTGAAACTGATCCCGATCTTGAGTACTGGTGAATTGGAAAAATCATTTAATTGAGTAGAAACTATATCTGTTTTGTTTCTGGTAGTAGCACTGTTCCTGGCTCGAAGTAGGCGCTCAGTAGTTGAGTGTATAAATGGATTGGATAAATTCTGTTCAAGATATATGAGTTTTTGGTTTTTTTAAGGTGCTTGAGGAACAGAAGAGGAATGCTGGCAATTCAGTGTAAACACAGGCCCGCAGTCTCTGTCCAATTGAAACGTATGAGGTTGAGTCCTCAACTGAAAGTTGACCAGGCAGCCGCGTCCCACAACAAGGGCGTACAACGGAATTGAGTTTTCTCGCGTCCCCGAACTTGACTCTGAGGAAAGCGGATTAAGGAAGGAGTTAACTGACATTTTTAGAAAGGCAGAAAGAAAAAAGACGTCCTTCAGTAAACAACAGAGCTCTCCTTTACAAATGCTGGTTTGGCAGGGTGGAAAATCCAAACTGACTTCGATACTCTCAATTTTCCCTCTCCGCACCGCCACCGAATCAGAGTCAAAACGGAGTCCTGAAGTCCTCTACGCGCGCCTCAGAATGACCCCTCCGAGGAGCAGTAGGGGTGATGTCATCGCAGCGCGACAACAGGAAGTAAGCTGGGTGGCTGTGCCGCGCGCGGTCTCGAGCTCCTGAGTCTGACAGCACCGCGATCTCTTCTCCCCTTCTCGCCGCGATGGATAATGCCTGCGAGTCGCTCACGGAAAAAGGTGGAGAGACAGGGGAGTCAGATGAGACTGCCGCTGCTCCCGGGGGGCCCGGGGCTACTGACATGGACGGAATCCCGGAGGAAACTGACGGGGACGGAGATGGGGACTTGAAAGAAGCAGCAGCTGAGGAAGGCGAGGTAAGGAGAGATGTGTTGATGAGGCCGGGGGAGTACTCCGAGATTATGGTACCGGCTGCTCGACCGGCTTCCTGGTTGGTCCCTCCCAAGCTAAGAGAACGCGAACTCACCATGACTGCCTCTAGATCTGCAACCGCGGGGGCGCCTGGAGGGAGGAGACAAAACTGTAGTGCTGGTTTTGTTCCAAAAACCCAAGTACTGGGTAAATATTTTTAATCAAAGCAAAATTTTAAATCAATTTAAAATCAAGGCAAAGTTTTAATGCCTTTAGGTGTTACAGCTACTTCTAAGGGAATTTTAAATAGCTTCTTGGTTTTCCTGGTGAGGAAATTGGCATCTGATATCACACTGTGACTAAGTGCAGAGCTAGAACCCAGGATTCCTAGTACCCCTTTCCCCGCAATATGGTTTCTCTTAGATGTTGCTTAAGCCTAACTTCGTCATTGGCTGCAGATTCGTTAAAGGGAGACTTTGAAGGGGTTACTGATTTAGTCACGTTTTTACCCTCTGGGGACATTTAACTGCTACCAGTGACCTGGGTGCTAATGTCCAACGGTCTCTATAGCATAAAAACACCAAATTCATCAGTTGTGCTACCTCAAGAGCTCAGCAGTGTTGCCTAGCTGAGCATCACTCAGGGGACCGGAATCTCAGCGTTCTCTGGGTTCCATTTCTAGAGATAGAACCTTGGGGTCTTAGACCTATAAGGGACTTAAAGAGATCATGGGGGAGGACATTTGATTAGATGGAAACAGCCATTCAGAGCATAAAGTTGCATCAAAATATATAAAGTAAGAACTTATAGAAAAAGAGAAAAATGTGATGAAACTATTTTAAGAAGGAACCTTTAAAATAGATCTCAAGGGCAGAAAGGATTTGAAGAATAATTAGCTTAGTCCAGTAGAGAGCTCACTACATACAGAAATTTGCACCCAACAGAAGATAAAATTCTTTTTTTGTTGTTGCTTCTGAAACACTTTTAAAAATTGATCGTATACCAGACCAAAAAAATATATAAATTCTTAAAAGCAGAAATCATAACAGGCCACATCCTGTTTGTAAAGTGCAGTAAACCCAAAATTAATAACAAAAAGCTTCTCCCACCCCCACTCCTTCCCAAAAACTAATACCCGGACATTTTAAACTGTTTTCTAAATAGCCTTTAGATTAAAGAAATTAACAAAGAGAACACTACATCAAATCCTATGGGATTGGACCAAAACTTTATTTAAAGAAAAATTCATATCCTTATATATTTTTATTAACAAACAGGAGATATTGAAAATAAGCACCCAACGCAAGAAACTAGAAAAAGAAAATAAACCAGAAGAATGTAGGAACAAGGAGTCAATAAGGATAAAAGTAGATATTACTGAATTAGCACTTAAAAAACATAAGAAATGATAAAAGAAAGACCTGATTATTTGAAATGTAAATGCACAACATTATGAAATAAGAAAGGGCCAAAGGCACTGATACAGAAACTTTTAAAGTTATAAGAAGGCCGGCCCCATGGCTTAGCGGTTAAGTGCGCGCGCTCTGCTGCTGGCGGCCTGGGTTCAGACCCCAGGCGCGGCGCCGTGGTGCCACTTCTCCGGCCATGCTGAGGCCGCGTCCCACATACAGCAACTAGAAGGCTGTGCAACTATGACATACAACTATCTACTGGGGCTTTGGGGGAAAAAAATAATTAAAAAAAAAAATAAAGTTATAAGAAAATGTAATGTTCAAGTTTAGGCCAAATAAATTTGAAAATTTAAGAAAAATGGCTCATTTTTAAGGAAAGAAATAAATCACCAAAATTGAAGCACAAAGAGGTTAGAAAACTTGTATAAATCAGTAACTAGAGAAGAAATTGAAAGGGTGTTAAAGGTATACTACCTTCACTCTTACCTACCCCTCATATGCCTGTATGAGTTTAAATGTGAGTTCCTCTTTAAGGAAAGCAGAGGTTAAATCCCATTAATGATGTTTTTTGTATCCTTAGTTCTATATTAAGTTGGAGGGGATGAAGTTTGGATTTTGATTTTTTTGTTGTCATTAAACATCTAGCATGAGCAAAACGATGTTAAATGCTTCTGTGGGGAGAGATAAATAATAAGAGACAAACCTATCTCCGGAAAGTTTTCAGTCTAGTAATGGGAAATAAATATTTGCATGATACAGTAGAATTGAAATATAGGAAGAAAAAAGCACTACATGTGTGGGAGAAGCTCACTTAAAAGTTCCAAATTCAAGGAAACACTGTTTTGATGAGACAGTGCCTCCTGTTTAATATTCTTTCCACATGGAATCATCAGCAGTAAAGAGGTCTATAGATTTAGAGGCAGAAGAGCTGGCTGGATAAAGAGGACTTTTTGAATCCTCTCAAGAATGAGGTCAGGAGAGTGGGCTCAGGGGGAGAGTGGTGTTCAGGATCCTTGGCATTTTATTGCCCTTGTAAACAGATACTGGAGCTATGATCATAGTTAAACTGGAAAATTGGCTTATTTAGCTGGTTTTCTTTCCACAGCTGGGCTATAAACTTCTTTAGGAGAGATAGTATATCTTATCCTTCATGGTACTGCCTGTGCCTAGAACCAAAAAACTACTGAATAAACGGATTTGTTGTGTTGTAGTGAGAATGATGTCTTCTTACCTTGCCCAAGTCTGGAAGGTAGGCCAAATATATAATAGGATTTCTTTCATCTTCTCAGCTCAAGAGTCAGGACATCTCAGATTTAACAGCTGTTGAAAGGGAAGACTCATCGTTACTTACTCCTGCAGCCAAAAAACTGAAAATAGATGCCAAAGAAAAGAAAGAGAAGAAGCAGAAAGTGGATGAAGATGAGATTCAAAAGATGCAGTAAGTCACTTTCTGATCTTTCCCCATTTCAAGGCTCTAACTTAACCACACAAAGTTAATAAATTTTTCTTGGCCTTGAAGTTTTTTTTTCTTTTTTAAACTCAAAAGAAAATAAAGCAGTTAACACGTTATGTTACATTATAGAAAATATAAAAAAGTAAAAAGAAAAATACCACCTTACCACCAAGATAAACACTGTTAATATTTTGATGTATATTCTCCAAGATATTTTCTGTTCATATATATCTATAAATAAAATTAAGTTAAAATTTTCAAAGATGTTAAATGCTGTTTGAAACCTGTTTTACACAATATATATGATGAATATTTTCCATGTCAATAATTATACATCTAGGTCATAATTTTCTTCAAAATGGAAATGGCCTCATTATGTTTTTTGATTGTAAAATAGTATGGGCTCATTGCAAATAATTCAGAGAATACAGATAAATAGAAAAAATAATTACCCATAACCCCACCACCCAGAGTTTACCCAGGGTATATATTTGTATGTACGTTTTCAGATTTTTTTTTTAATGTTTGATATGTATAGCTAAATATTTTCATGTTAGTAAATTTGCCCATAAATCATCATTTTTAATAGCTACATGGTATTCCATTATGTGGATAAACAATAATTTCACCAATTCCTGTAGCTGTTCTGGGTTTCTTTTCTTTTCTTTTTTGAGGAAGATTAGTCCTGAGCTAACATCTGTTGCCAATTCTCCTCTTTTTTTGCTGAGGAAGATTGGCCCTGGGCTAACATCCATGGCCATCTTCCTCTACTTTATATGGGATGCCACCACAGCACGGCTTGACAAGCAGTGCGTAGGTCTGCACCTGGGATCTGAACCTGCGAACCCCGGGCCGCCAAAGTGGAGCGTGTGAACTTAACCACTATGCCACTGGGCCAGCCCCTGTTTTTTTTTTTCTTTTTATATTATGATGAGTATCTTTAAACACATCTTTGCATACTTGTCTATTTACTTCCTAAAATAAACTCCTAGAAGTGAAATTGCTAGTTCAACAGTATGAACATTTTTCAAAGGGTTTTCATACGTATTTCCAAATTCTTCTCCAAAAAGGTTGTTCCACTTACACTCTACCAGCATGTATGAGTATGTGTCTTCCCATCCTCACTAATACCATTCTTTTTCATACTTGTCTATCTGGTTTATGAAAGATGTTATCTTGTTTTAGTTTATCATTTCAATTTCTTTAGTTAATAGTAAAAGTTTTTTCCCTCAATATTTACTGGCCATTGGTATTTTTGTAAATTTTCTGTTCATGTCCTTTGCTCATTTTCTAAAATTGGTATGGCCATCTTTTTATTTATTTTAAAGAATTAATTATGTATTAAGAGTATTAACCCTTTTCCATATATTTTATATATATTTTCCCCTAAATCTGTTAATGTTGAAATCTACTGGATTGTAATTAGTATTTGGGTGGTGAACATGATGTAATCTATGCAGAAATAGAAGTATAATGATGTACACCTGAAATTTATACAAGGTTATAAACCAATGTTACCGCAATAAAAAAATTAATTAAAAAAAAGAAAACTACTGGTTTGAATATAAATTTATATATTAGTAAGTGTAGTAACGTGGCATTATGGGGAGAGAGAGCCTAATGCTGAAAACACAATCTATATATCTAGTATGATACAGTGACCCAACATTGTTTTTTAGGTTTTTGTTCTTAATGAAGTACGAAAGGAAGTTGAAAAAAGTTTCACTTATTCTCAAATTCCTTTAGAAATAATTTATCTTCGTTCCTAATAAGCACTAAGCCTAATACTATTGACCCCTTGAAAATTTATTTTCTAATTGTCTGAGACTTGATTTTATCGATGTAATAATATATCTTAAGCATTCATTCTTGTAAGTGAACTTAATTACCTGAATCTTTGTCTAGAATCCTGGTTTCTTCTTTTTCTGAGGAGCAGCTGAACCGTTATGAAATGTATCGCCGGTCAGCTTTCCCTAAGGCAGCCATTAAAAGGGTAAGGGTGGACTACCACACTTCACTTCCATCAGCTATGAGAACTGAACTAAACTCAAGAGCTATATCCATTGGCATTTTGAAGTGAGGTGTTAGGCAAGTTGGTGGATCGTTTAGACGGGAAAATAAAAATAACATGCCCCTCAATAATCTGGCCAATTGCAGTTTTGTATTCCAGGGCTAGGGTCTCAACAAACATAACAGGTCATTATACACCTGAATCCTTGTTTTAATAGTCGAAATTTCAGCATCCAGCCTTTAGTAAATAATTTTTCCTTGCAGAGCTCTTATGGGTACTGTGTTCCAAAGCCAGTCCTTCACTACCTTAATCAGAGTCTTTGTCCTTCTTTCAAGCTGATCCAGTCCATCACTGGCACCTCTGTGTCTCAGAATGTTGTTATTGCTATGTCTGGTATTTCCAAGGTTTTCGTCGGGGAGGTGGTAGAAGAAGGTGAGTGGTGTTTGTATAAATACCAGTTGAACCTGTGGTGGTGTTATTTTCAAGAATATCTATACTGAGGGACTTATTAAGGTACCTGTGGTAGTTTCCATTAACACTACAAGTTGACCAAGGGAGGAGACTTGTATTCAGGAGAGCATGACCATTATTCTTTAAAAGTTTCAATGCTAGGAGGCAAGGAAGCATCTAGGAAATCTCCTTTCCTGATTCCTGTCCTTAGCCCAGGGTGATAGAAGCAGACTTTTTATTTTTCTCCAAGGGACTTTGCTCATTTCTGCTGCCAAAAGTAAAGATACAAGAAAAGCAATCACTGGGGCTGACAGTGTGGTATGGTGAGTTTTCCCTGATGTTATGACCCCTGGGAACTGGCCCCCTGTCCATCAAGTAAAGACCCTAGCTGCTGCCCATTGCTAATCTCTAGCTGGTGAAATGTTTTATTTTTTTAAGCAGAAGATATATTTTAAACTGTTGCTATGATAAAGCCTGATATGGGATATTATACTAAAGCTAACATGATATATTTTATAGCATTCTCTTAAGAAGGGCAATGTCTTGGTTTATTTCCTTAGCAAGCTTAAGAAGAGTTAATGAGAATTATAGGACTCAAAGGGCCAGCCCCGTGGCTTAGCGGTTAAATACGCATGCTCCACTGCTGGCGGCCCGGGTTGGGATCCCGGGCGCGCACCTAACGCACCGCTTCTCCGGCCATGCTGAGGCCGCGTCCCTCATACGGCAACTAGAAGGATGTGTAGCTATGACAGACAACTATCTACTGAGGCTTTGGGGGAAAAATAAATAAATAAATAAAATTATAAGAATTACAGGACTCAAAAGGATTGTGATTAATAAGCTCTTGTGTGATAATGAAACTCTCTCCTTGTCCTCTGTTTAGCACTGGATGTATGTGAGAAGTGGGGAGAAATGCCACCACTACAACCTAAACATATGAGGGAGGCTGTACGGAGGTTAAAGTCAAAGGGGCAAATCCCCAACTCGAAGCACAAAAAAATCATCTTCTTCTAGACCAAAGCCCAGAAAGGCCTGGTACTGAAGGAAGAAGTACTGGTTCCAGACTTCTATTGCATGAGACTTTCTGCACTGGTGCTTTAGTATCTCAGTCCTCCAAGGATTCCATGATGATTTTAATTCCTTCTCAAAACTCTGATATTCATCGTACCTAGAAGAAGGCATGTAGCCTGTTTCATATTTGCCTTGACTAAATATTGGGACCTCTTTAAGGCATTTTGAAGCGTTTAACTGTTTCTTGGCTAGTTGGAAGAAGAAAGGTACATGGGCCCTAAGCATCTTCTAAACAGGGGAGCTGCTTTCAGCAAGAAAACTTTTCCAAGAGAGCTTTGACAGCTTCACATTGAAGCCTGAAGTTGCTAGGACTTCAGTTGTTGCTTACATCTGGTTTTAAGTGGATGAAACAACCAGAAACTTTTGCTTGTGATTCTCTACCATGAAGGACACAATGACAGCAGGAGGTGGAATAGTTTGTCCTTGTAAACATTTAAGATTCTCCTCTGGATTTTGGCGAGTGATCATTAAACTGTTTTCCAACTTGCCACATGTGTATTCATTTTCTGTCTCGCTGGGTGGAATGCGGAGAAGTTCATCATTCTTTTTTGGTATCAGAGTAAAACTTGTCTTGGCTTTTTTGTGAAAATTTGAGCCCTTCCCATTTTCTACTAGAACTATTAAAATTTTATCTCATAAAAGAATACTTAAAGCACTTAAAAACAATGTAAAAGCCCATATATTTCAGAGTCCTATAAACATACCACAACCAATACTGTTTAATAAGTTTAATTTGCTTTTTTCAGGTGGTTCACAGAACCAGTACACTCAAGGTTTGATTAGATATTGCAACATTAAAAGTTCCCAATACTGACCAGTATTCCAGTTCATCGGATACATTCTCATTGTTTTCCTCAAATAGAGGGGAATGGAGTGACCTTTTATTGACAGTGGTTAGCAGTAATAAGGCTACTATATATAATTGGCAATCCCCAAGACTTCCTTCCTCTCTATCATTCAGTGTCATAGGGAGAAGGGTTTTGAAGCTGTTCTCTTTTGAAACTTTCCTGAGCATATCTTAGTAAAGATTCCAGTTCTGTTTAGCACCCTGAGTGGGGGAAACAGCTTGGACTCACAAAGTTGGGCAAATCTGGCTTTTAATATCTTACATTAAAACTCATGGCTTTAAACATGTACTTAGCCAATGGAGAAGACACTTCAGTGGGGCACTCCACAAAGAAATGCTGTAAGACTCAGGCTAAATCTTAACCAAAAACTAATAAACTGGAAAAGAAAATATTCTCTCAGCTCTAATAGGAATTTTTTTAATAGTAATAAAAACTATACCTATTGCAATTTGAGATATTGGATAAGGCTGAAACTTATAAATAACAAGGGAAAAAGTTCATATCCCAAGTCTAGCCACTTAGCAAAGCCTCACAATTTAAGGTTATCCAAGAGTGATTCCCCTTGTGTCTGTTTTAAGAGATAGGGAAAATAATCCCCATTCAACAATAGCTACTATCTATACCTACCCAGAGGTGAATGGGTATATTCCTATTCTAGCAGAAGGGGAAGATCTAGGTGAAGGCCCTAGTCCCTGAAAGGAGAGTACATCACACCAGAATCTCACGAAACATTTAATAATGACTACGGTAAATCACAAGGCACTGACACAGCTTTTGCAGTTCTCAAATAACCAGATGTCATCCTACTAGCTTGTGCAGCAATGTTCAGTTGTTTCCATAGTTTTGTGATGTTACATTAACTGACTTTAGAATTTTAGGCAAGTATTAAATAAAGAAGAAAAAAACCAAACCCTTAGTGTAAAAGTTTGGAATGGAAAGTTTCCGTATCACTACGGCAATACTTTAAACTACCTTCTTTCCACCACCCCCTGAACTAACCTAAGGGGAAACTAATGTAAATGGGTTAAATGGAAGCATTCAAGTTATAGGGTATGTGAGGGGTGGTGTTTATCCCTTGTATATTCCATACACAGGAACCATTCCTTTCAGAACTATGAAAAAGGGTACATAAAGCTTGAGGCCCATGGCAAAATGAGGGTCAAGTTAAATATACAGCAAAAAGCAGCCATCATGAGAATAGAACCCACACCTTCTATCTTAAGTCAAAGAAACTAGATTAATTATTCCAGTGAACTGAAAACAGAATTTGAGATTGATAACCATCCCTCAGCTCAGCAAAGAGAGATTTAAACCAGTCCATATGCACTAAAGCATATCTCCAGTAGCTCCATGTAAACAGGAAATCTAGACAATCACAGATGATACATAGTTGTAAATGCTTCACAGCTGAAATGGTGATGTGCATGGTGGAAGCCTTTGAGGGATAGTGTTGCTATCACTCCAGACATTTTCTTGAGGTATTGTTATTTCTTGTTCACAGAGTCTTAGAGCTTCAAGGCAGAAATCATAAGCAGTCCAAAGGCTGACACTACTATTTTTTCCTTTACATTTATCCTGAGGACTACCAACCAGTTCATATTTCTTCATTGTGAAAAAGTCTTCCTTCCCCCAATGAATAGGAGGATGAAGTTATACAAGATGATTTTTACTAAAATTCCATGGGACAATGACACCTACCACATTTCCTGGGGGAGGATTTCAAGACACAATGGTCAAAGCTGCCACATAAGGGAAGTCAGAAATTCTAGGGCTCCATTTGTCAGATGGACAAGAGTTCCAGAGAGCTCAGAAACCTGACTGAGCTCTGGCCATGAACAGGATTAGCCTTGGTGCTTCCTAGATTTCTTTCTATTGCCTCCCACCAAGCAAAAGCTTAAGGTGAAGGTATACCAAGCAATGCCCATTAGACATTTTCTTTGCATGGAGGAATGCCAGACAGATATGGTAGGTGGGGGATGAGAGGAAGGAAAGAGAATCAGAATGTGATTTTAAACCAAATCAGGTCAGCCTAAGATCGAATGATTCTAGTTTCTGGCTACTGGATCTCCCTCCTCCCCCACTCCAAGAACATTAGAAATACCACATTTGAGAGGACCAGTGATCCATTTTGTTGACCATTCTGATTTGAAAGAAGCACTAAGGGGGAGTTAGTGGAAGGATGCAGTTACCCTCTCAGTTGTTTATCACCAAATAGCCCTAGTTTTCTATAATTCCTTTTGAGAGGCCACCATACAAGGATTCCTCTTAAACCTTCTGTACCCATAGTTTCTTCCAGCACCGCCTCTTGGACAGTGAGCTCCATAAGTTTCTGATTTGCTAGAAGTGCTTTCTTTTACCTAAGGCAATGAGGTAGAGCCCTAGAGCTAGTATTTATTCATATTCATATTCACCATATTCATACCTGGTAAATATGTCCTTGCTCTTGACAGGATATTTGATCTAACACTAAACCCTTAGCTTCATCTTTCCAGAATTGGAGCCAACATTGTAAAGATGTGTCCTCATGTGGAAGTACCTCCACTCCCTGATAATTTTTGCTGTTCTCTGGACCTTTCCTCCCTTCGCCATTTATTTTGTAAATAAGGTCACTGGAAGTGCACAGATAACTTAAGTCATTATCTGTTTTCTGTGCTGTCTCCATGTGCCCTTCCTGATGATGCAGTTGGGCTTTTAGCCACACCAGCACATGGACCCCGCCTCCCTGTCAGCAATGCTTAAGTTTCTTTCCTGAGTTCTAACAGAGCTCACCACTTCACTGGTCGCTGATTCTTCCATAAGTGCGTTACTTTACACTTACCTACACTGAACTTCACCTGTCACTTTCCTAAGTATTCACAGCCCGGCTTGTGACCGTTCTGCGGTTTTGCCTTTTTTTCAAATCTCTTCTGGTTTACCTTTCACTGCCTGCAAGTAATGACATTTGATTACACTATAATATCCTACTTTCAGGTTATTTATAAAAATCTTAAATAGAGTTAAACCAAGCATCAACCCATAGGAAACTTCCTCTGTTAACATTCTCTTGAGAAAAATGTTTATTCTTAAGTCTCTAAGTTGTTTCCTAAGCATGACAAAAAATTCCCATAATCTCATAGTAACTGGTGTTTTTAAAATTGCCTTAGTGAAGAACCTTGACAAAAATGTTCCTTCTTGAATGCATGTTTCTTTTTATCCTCAAAAAAATAGAATATACAAGTCAGGCATGATTTCCCATAAAGGAAATCATTTTATCTTTCCTTCAATAGTTCATGTGTAATTAAGACTTTAGCAACACTACTAAATTACTATTTTACCATCTTGCCAATTCAAGGTGAGTTAACCGATGAATTTCTGTCCAAACAACACAACTTGAAGTATATCACAGAGCAGTAGGGATGAAAGTAGAGTGCTGGGGAAGAATTAGGTAGGAAAGGAAAAGGGGGAAAATAGCTCTTTTATAGGGCAGGGGCAAAACCTTGCTAGGTTGAAGGGTGGTTGCTTTTTTCTTTTATAAGTCAAAATTACATGATTTTAAAAAGCCACAGTGATAGAGGGGGGTGAGAGGCAACAGGTTGAGATGTTTATGTTACAGTTTAAAGCACATTTTCAGCTCCAAACTACCAAGTGCTAAGGAGAGAGTGCTGGTAGAAAGTCATAGTGCTGGGAAAGCACATGTGCGAGAGACCCCAGGGAGATAGGAGATAACCTCTGAGGTGCAACTGTGGAAGAGAGGAAGGTCTCTAGGCGGGCGATAGGGGGCTCAGAATCAAGTTCCCCTATTGATCCCTACCACATCATGCCTTCAACCTAGCTCAGAGTGAATATTTTTTTCTTGATTTAAATTTCAAATAAATTCCATTATTAAAGGGCAAGATGATACAACTGAGCCACTACTGTTGTTTACTTTCTACCACGGCATCACAATGATGAAAGTATAACAGAAAGGAAGCTTAACCTTGAAAAATCTGATTGTAATATCAGCCAAGATGATATGAGCTTGGTTCCCTTCCAAAAAAGGCAGAGTCCAGGTCTCCCTTATTCTTGTGCCTCTCCTGGCTCCTGCCTTACTGGCTGTTTCTTATTCACTCTACTACCACAGTCAAAGCTCAGGCCAAGGACTTTTCAGGTCTGCTACAGGAAGCTCTGGGACATAGAATCTTTGGTGGCTCTGTGGGTGACTGAGGGAGGTGGGTACTTTGCCTTGTTCACACAGGTTGTCGAGGAAGCAAATGTCTCTGCCATGAAACCAGGCGGTGAAATGGCCCTACAGTAACAAGAAGATTCCACCTAGTGTGCAGAGGGCCAAAAGGCTTTATACAGGCAAGACGTGATGCTTGAGCCACGCACAAAGCTGCCCCCAACTTCCTGGAACATGTTGATGCTTTGCCCTGTCTTCCTTCCAACTTAGAACAGCTAGTAGAAGGAACACTGAGAGGAGTGAGTTGAGCACTCCCCACTCCCTCTGGCATCCTTAGCAGACTTATTCAACACTGGACGGTGCCTTCTGTCACAGGTGGTGCTATTGCTGGTGATCTCCTCCTCTCTCCTTGGCACAGATGGCTGAGCCACTGCTATCAGAGCTCAAAGAGGGGGTTATATTTCCTAATCTCCTGAAGAAGTTTTTCTTTATCCTGGTTGGCAATGGCCAATGCTTGTTTAGTTTCTATAAGTTCCTTTTGTAGGGTAGGCAGTTCTTTCACCTGAGGAACAATAAGTAATTCATAGTTAATGAATAAGGTAACACACCTTGCAAAAACATCCAATAAGGGAACAAGGAGGAAGAATTCAAGCAGAAAAATCCACGAGTTTGGTCAATGATCAAGAGAACCCAACTAGATCTTTTCTAAGAGTCTAGTCCCCTCTTCAGAGTTCATCCAGGGACAGCAACAGGTGGAATATGTGATCAGCAACCATTCACCTCCAGCTCCTGACTTACATCTCTATTCACCTCTTCTCGAAGCTGCTCCCAGGTGACAGGAACCCAAACCACCCAGCTGTATACAGCACAAGCAACCTTTTCAGCCCTCTGGGTTTTACCAGCTCCTGTGATTACAGCCCCAAACGGTTTATGGGAAAGGTAATGTTCAGTTAGGTCCTCACCTGCTGTCCAAAAGCCTCCCCTGTGGGCGCCAGAAACACTTGTTCTTTTGGGGGCTGCCTCTTCTCACTTTTAGGTACTTCAGCTGATGGTTTGTCCTGAGCAACAGCTGGAAAAAGAGTAAACGTTCTAAATGACAAACTGCTGCCAACATGTAGATAATTCCTAGTTGTCACATATTGCCTTACAGGAGAAAAAGGGCAGAGAAGCCAGAGGGCTGACAAGCCCAACTCACCGCCTATGTGGAACACACCATCATCACTCCGCTTCAGCACAACATGCTCCACGGCCAGAGTGATGGGGATAGGGCCTGGAGACGTCGGATAGATGGGGGGGACATCATCCTGCAGGAAAGAAAACCACATGATGCCCCCAACCAGCTCAGGGCAATTTAGCTGACAACCCAGGCTTCTACCATTTAGCTTGAAGCACTTTTACGTTATGTTTATTGATATATTCTTGCAAGATGTGAAAGGCATAACGGAGTCTCTCCCATTCTATAGACAGTGAAAATGAGGATCAGATAACCTAGTGGGCTTGAACATAGTCATGCTGCAAGCCAAAGACAAGGCAAGTGCTAGAGACAAGGTCTCCTCATCTGAACCCAGGATTTCCTGTCAGCAACACATTTATGTACTACTATAATACTGACAAAGAATGCTAATATGCATTTCCTCACTTGATCCTCACCATGTTTTACAGTGACAAGGGAAGAGGTAAACAACTATCACTGCCAGAATTCCTTGCCTGACAAAGTCTAGGGTAAAAACCAAATGTTCTTCTCACCTTTAGGGTGATCCTGGAGTTCAGGAGCTCAATCTGCATGGGAATGACCACCGGGAGCTCCTCATCCTCCAAGAAGGGCCCCAGGCCATTCAGCACCGAAGTGAGCAGCTCAAGATCACAGTCACGAACCAAGAAATGCAGGAAGCCATTCTGTGCGGCCAGTGGGGAATGAACAGCTGCACCAGGCCCCACCTCAAAGCGAAGGCCCACAGCTGGCCTGATGTGGTCAGACTTCAAAGTTGAGGGTTCCTGAGAACTTGGACCTTTGAGAAGAAAGACAGAAGGAAAACATATTAATTAATTAACATATGGGGAATGTTCAAAACACTATACATATATTTATTATTCATAACAACTGTATGCCAAAAGTATTATCATCATTCCCATCTTAGAGATGGAGAAACTAAGGCACAGAGAATAACTTGCCCAAAGTTATGCAACTTGTAAGTAGCAAGGATAGCATTTGAACACAGGCAGCCTGACTGCAAAGACCGTGGGCTTAGCTACTTTGCTAATGCCTCTCACGGCGGAAGGGAGGTTAAGGACCAATAAAAAGCCAGCCTTGCTATGAATCTGAGGCACTGGGCTAATGGCCAAGGCAAAGCTCTTAAAACACAGGACCTCAACTCTGCTAAATTTGAATGTCTCTTCATTTCTCCAAGTCTTGGTCTTCTCACCTCTCTCTGATAAAGCCAAGCAGGATCTATGCTAATCTCCTCAAAACTCCATAAAGAACAATCTCAGGTGTAACCAAGGATATGGAACAACTTGCCTACTTATATAACTGCAAAATGGTACAACCATTTTGGAAAACAAATTGGCATTATCTAGTAAAGTTAAAGTTATACCTACCCTTATGATCTAGAAATTATTTCCTCAGGAATATAACTCTGGAGAAACTCTCCAACATACATACCAGGAGACATGTACAAGGATGTTCAAGGCAACCATATTTGAAATAGCAAAAACACTGGAAACAACTCAAATGTCTGTTCAGAATAGACTGAGGAAGTAAACAGAATATAGTCAGCCCTCTGTATCCATGGGTTCTGCATCCATGGATTCAACCAACTGCAGATCGAAAGGCCCATGATGGCTGTGTCTGTACTGAACATGTACAGATTCTTTTTCTTGTTATTATGTCCTAAACAATGCACTATAACAACTACATATATAGCATTTACATTGTATTAGGTATTATAAGTAATCTAGAGATGATTTTAAGTATATAGGAGGATGTGGATAGGTTATATGCAAATATTATGCCATTTTATATAAGGGACTTCAGCATTGCGGATTTTGGTATACAGGGGGTCCTGGAGACAATCCCCCGTGGATACCGAGGGAGGACCATAATGGATACTTAGGTATTATAAGTAATCTAGAGATGATTTTAAGTATATAGGAGGATGTGGATAGGTTATATGCAAATATTATGCCATTTTATATAAGGGACTTCAGCATTGCAGATTTTGGTATACAGGGGGTCCTGGAGACAATCCCCCGTGGATACCGAGGGAGGACCATAATGGATACAAGGGATATTGTGGAGGTGATGGTGATGGTTGCACAACTCGGTAAACTTAGTAAAATTTCTAGAATTGTATACTTACAATGAGCGAATTTCATAGCATGCAAATTATACCTCAATAAAGCTGTTTTTTTTTTTTTCAATTTTTATTTATTTATTTTTTCCCCAAAGCCCCAGTAGATAGTTGTATGTCATAGCTGCACATCCTTCCAGTCGCTGTATGTGGGACGCGGCCTCAGCATGGCCGGAGAAGCGGTGTGTCGGTGCGCGCCTGGGATCCAAACCCAGGCCGCCAGCAGTGGAGCGTGCGCACCTAACCGCTAAGCCATGGGGCCAGCCCATAAAGCTGTTTTTAAAAAAACAAAAAGTAGTGTTTTTTTTTTACAACAGAATATTGTATAGTAGTGAAAAATGAATGATTTATATCTAACTCAACAACGTAGAAGAATTTGAAGAATATCATTTTACTTGAAAGAGGCATATCACAAAATAATACAAACTATAATTCCATTTAGAAAAACTCAAAACCCTGCAAAGCTAAACACTACATTGATACAAACACATTTGGAAGAATTGTAAAGCAAGAGAATGATAAACACAAAATTCAGGATAGTAATTCCCTATGACAGGTGAGAGGCAGAGGAAGGTTCAGGAGAGGGGCTCCCAGGGACTTTAAAGTTAATGGTACTATTCTATTTATTAAACTCAGTGGTGGGTATATGGGTTCCTTGTACTGTTACTACTTAATATCTTACATATATTTTATAAGTATTCTTTATTACCTACTCAATATTTTTAAAAAATAATTTTTTAAAATGAACCATGTAGCCATAAGCCCAGATTTTTCCTGTCATCTTTTAAATGATAATTCACATCAAAGGACTGAATCTGAATGACAGAAGTTTCCTGATCAGATATAGTTTGATGTTAGCAGCCACACAAACGAAGAAGTGGACACCATCCTCATGTATAAGCTTAAGGAGCACCTGGGAAGTGAAGATGGAGAATAGCCTGCTGAATGCAAAGGCCCAGAAAGCGCTCTGGGAGGCCCCCTGCAAGAAGGAGGCTTCATTGGAGTTCTTCCTCCCCCTGATGGCTGCTGGAGAGAAGGGCCAAGGGCGTGGCCCTAGGGCAGCTGCCCTTGGAGCACAGTGAGAGGAGCAAGTTAAGCTATGGCTGCCCCAGATAAATCCCACCAGCTCTCCTAGAATGGCTGCCATCCTCACCTGGGCACTGTCCATGCAGGAACTGCCAGAGTCCCATGGTGCCTGGCTGCTGGAGGGTCAGTTCCTCTGCTTGCAGGGCCACAGTCAGGTCCTCGCCACATACCTCAATCTCAAAAGACACCTCGTTCACCTTCAGGACCAGAACTGAGACCTGCAAAAGGAGACTCTCTTAGCTGAGTCCCAAGCTTCCAGCCTAGAGCCTACCCTCTGCAGAGAGGAAAGTAGAGCAGCTGACCGGGTGAAGACTGAGGTCTTCTCCACTGGGTGAGACCAAACTGTTGGCCTCTGGTGACCCCTGGCCATGACTATCCACAACAGGGCTCCCCTGAACACCAGCACTGTCCAAGTCATTTGGAAGAGATCCTGGTGGAACAGATTCTGGACCAGACTCTACATAAGAAAGACAACAAGAAAGTTGGAAAATCAAAATATTCTGTTCAAATCCAATCTCTCAAAACAATGACAACTGTAAAAGCAAAACAAAACATTTATGACATTTATGAGACAACTGGAAATTTGAAGCCTAGATATTTGATGAATTTAAGGAATTATTGTTAATTTTTGAAAGTGTGATAATGGTATTTGGTCATACTAAAAAAAAGTCTGTAAATGGAAGCAACCCAACTGTCCATGGATGGATGAATAGCTAAACAAAATGTGATATAAACATACAACAGAATATTATTTAGCCTTAAAAAAGAAGGAAATTCTGACACATGCTACAACATGAATGAACCTTAAGGACATTATGTTAAGTGAAATAATCCAGTCACAAAAGGACAAATACTGTATGATTCCATTTATATGAGGTACCTAGAGTGGTCAAATTCAGAAACAGAAAGTAGAATGGTGGTTGCCAGGGGCTGGAGGAGGAGAAAATGAGGAATTATTGTTTAATGGGTATAGAGTTTCAGTTTTACAAGATGAAAAGAGTCCTACAGATGGATAGTGGTGATGGTTGCACGACGATTTCAAAGTATTTAGCGCTGCTGAATTACAGTTAAAAATGGTTAAGATGTTAAATTTTATGTGTATTTTGCCACAATTAAAAAAAATTTTAATATTTTAAAGGACTGTATTCTCTAGAGACGCATACTGAAAATATTTATGGATAAAAATGTCTGGGATTTGCTTCAAAATAATACGGGAGGAAGGGAAGTGGGCAGAAGTATATATGAAACAAGAATGGCCATGAGTTCTTAATATTTGAAGCTAGGTAATGGGTATATGAGGGTTCATTATTTGCTTCTGTCTACTTTTATACATATTTGAAATTTTCCATAAGAAGTTAAAAATAATAATAACAAAACAAAAACGGGTACACACCACCCAGCTTAAGAAACAGTGCATTCTCTTTTATTTTCATTTAGACACACTTAAGGGACCATTTTTAAAAGTTTCCATTTCAATAAACTGAAAGAACCACTGTAACTTCCAGTGGTGACTGATCTAATTCCTCAAAGTTACTTGTTTTATCATAGACAAAAAGCTCCTAGTTATTTTATAATAAAATACATAGTTAGGTAAAAAACAGACAACGAACACACACGCTATTGACACCAGCCACAAAACTAATTCTACTGCCGCAACTACAGGGCTGCAAGACTAGTGATTTCTCCTTTGCTCTGAGTCTCGTTCTGTGATAAAGGTCAAGTACTAACCAACAACCTAGAAGATGTGGGGATAAAGCCACTAAAATTTCTCTTTCTCGGTTTTGGTTACGAAAATGTCTATTTTATCAAATCTCAACTCCTTCTGCATCCTGCTAAGCTGAATACAGGCAGCAGAAAGGACTTTTTCTCGACTTCTGCAGCTTTGCCTGGCTCTGCTTCCACCTACCAGACTCCAAGAGCATCACAAAGCTATCACTGCCATCACTGTCCACTGAAATCCGGTCTTCAGGGCCACTGCTATCCAGGGAGACACCATCAAATGACTGCTGAGATTCTGTCCTCTTCATGGAGAAAAATCGGAGTCGGGCAGCACCTCCACTCACTGGGGCTACCACCCCCTCATCTATCTTGGCCATGGGCTCCCTGTTTAAAAAACAAAAACAAAACCCACAAATGTGGCTTAGGAGGCATGCTCCATCCCCTTGTAATACTTACCCTTTCAGCCCAGACAGTTATCACATACATAAACGTTGATGTCAAATATTACCTGCTTTAAAGGAGTCACACAATTTTTCAACTGCCGGCCTTTCCGAATCCTCATATTCCAGCATTTCAAACTGCATAAGAAGGTCTCCCATATCAACAGTAAATTTCAAGGTTATTCAAGGTCATCCCATATACAGAAAAGACCAACTACCTACAGCCTTGGTGCTAATGAATGGCACCTGAAGCCACCCACATTCATTCCACAAGTATTTACTGAATAACTTCTGCATATAAGGGACCATACTAGGCACAGGGCAGGGGTAGGGGGGTGAATATAGTGATGAATAAGACATCCTCTGTCCTCAAAGAATTTATAAGCTATCAGGAGAGAGGAGACATACATAAATAACATCATATGGGAGTAAGTCACACACCCCATAAGAAGGACAGTGTTACAAGCTGAAGGTAGGCAATATCAAAGAGGGGAAAGAATGAGGAGAAGGGGATCAAGCATGGCTTTGTGGAAGGAGATGGCATTTGAGGTGGTCCTTGAAGGACCGTGAAAGAGATAGGAAAGAGGGCCTTCTATGGGAAAGAAACAGATGAGCAAATGCTTGGAGCCAGAAAACAAAAAGTACCTTCGGAGACTAGAAAGTAGCTCAGCCCCACTGGAGTGTAGGTTTTGCTGGGGAGAGCAATGGAAGATAAAGTTAGAAAGGCATAATACAGTGAAAAGAAACCTTTAAGGACCTGCAAACAAAAAAGCTCCCATTTTACAGATGAAGAAACTGACTCAAGGTCACAGTTAAAGGTAGTATTAAGAAAAACCCAAGTCTCCTAATCTCTTGCTAAATGCCTTTTTCACCTTACCACATGGGTTGCAGCCAGATTATAGATAACCCTGGATAGAAGATTATATGTGGGGGCTGGCCCCGTGGCTTAACGGTTAAGTGCGCGCGCTCTGCTACTGGCAGCCCGGGTTTGGATCCCGGGCGTGCACCGACGCGCCGCTTCTCTGGCCATGCTGAGGCAGTGTCCCACACACAGCAACTAGAAGGATGCACAACTATGACATATAACTATCTACTGGGGCTTTGGGGAGAAAAAGGGAGAAAAAAAGGAGGAGGATTGGCAATAGATGTTAGCTCAGGGCCGGTCTTCCTCAGCAAAAAGAGGAGGATTGGCATGGATGTTAGCTCAGGGCTGATCTTCCTCACAAAAAAAAAGATTATACGTGAACGTGCTCTGAAAACTGTGAAGTGCAGGGGGTATTCGGGAAATCTCTGTACCTTCTGCTCAATATTGCTATGAACCTAAAACTGCTCTAAAAAATAAAGTCTATTTTTAAAAAAACTGTAAAGTGCCATGTGGATATATCATAATAATTGATTATGCCACACTAAGAAGTTCAAACTAAATTCAGGGTGTATAAGGAAAAAGCCTGACACTTTTAGAGCAGGGAAATAATAGGAACATACCTGTGTTTTAGGAAGTCGGACCTGGCTTTTTCAAACAAGCTAGAGAGGAAAAGACCTCCAATGAGGAAATCAATTAATAGTTTACTAAAATAGTCCACATGTGGGAACAGACAGGAAAACTGATGTGAGACTCCACAGGGCAGTGTTCTCAAAGCATCCTCTTGGTAGGAGCATCAGCATCAATGGAGGATTTGTTAGAAATACAAATTCTCCAGCCCCATCTCAGACCCACTGGATGAAGAACTCTGGGGGTAGGGCTCAGCGATCTGTGTTTTAACAAGCTCTCCAGGCAATTCTGAAGCCTGGGTGAGTTTGAGAACCATTGCTCTAGGAATTATAGTCAGAAGCTGACAAATGACTAGAAGAGGCAGAGCTAAAATATAGAACTTTGAATGAGCAGAAGAATGATGCTACCAAAAAAGAAAGAACTGGTCTGGGGGAGGATAAGGAGTTTAGTCATATATATGTGAGGTTCGAGGCAGCCCTGGGAGATCCATGTTGAGCTACACGGAGTAGACAGTTTTAAATGAAGAGCAGGAGAGGGGAGGGAAGTTAGGACTTTATATATATAGAGAGAAAGAGACTATAGCAGAGTGAGGAGATGGATAAAATAACCTAGAAAGAAAGTATTCAAAAACGTAGACTGATATAAACCTTCTGAAAGTTTGGCAAATATGTCAAAAACCTTAAAATGTTTGTAGTGTTTGACCCAATAATTCCACTTCTAGGTTTTTATTCTAAAGATTTAGATATACATAAAGACTAATGTTCACAAAAATAAGGACATTTAACACAGCATTGGTTCTAACTGAGAAAAACTGAAACAGACTAAACGGCCCCCTCAGATAGTGGAATGGATGAATAAATGATGATACATCCATTTGCTAGAACACAATAGAGCAATTAAAAATTATGTCTTCAAATACCTAATAAATGGGAAACTATTCAAAATAAAACATTAAGTGAATAAAACTGTAAATTTTCTATATTATACAGAAATAATATAGCCCTATTATTGTAAAAACAATATTTGTATGTATGTGTATACACATATAAGCATTCACACGGATAAGAAATATATGTATAAAAATCGGAAGAAAATAGATCCAAATGCAAATTGTGGCTATCTCTGGATAGTGTCATTAAAAGTGACTTTTATGTTTTCTTCTTTATTCTTCTATTCTCTACACTGTCAACAAAATGAGCACAAATCATTTTTAGAATTAAAAAAATAAAAATTATGATAAAAGTGATCAGAATACAGACAGCCTAGTGCTGTGGAACAGTTACATTTATAGGATAAAAGAAAGAAGAGAGCAGCCAAGGAAAAACAAAAGACTCCTTCTGAGAAGTGTGAGTAACTGGGCAGGGTTACAAACACTCAGAATGAACTGACCAGCAAGGCTGACTGCCACAGAGGAGTCCAGGAGGAGGAGGACAGAAAAGGCCACTGGCCTGGGCAGTTAGGAAGGCAATGTTGGTGTTTAAAGAAGAGCTTGTATCACACACCTTTCTTTTCTCTTTTCCACCTCTCCTCTTTTCCCATCTCCCTTACTCTTCTCCATTTAGAAAAGGCAGCACATTTGGTGACTGGGAGTCCAGGCTTTCAATCCTCGCCCCACCACTCACAAGGTGTGTGATCTTGAGCAAGTTTCTTACCTCTCTGAGCCTCAGTTTCCTCATCTGTAAAATGAGGAGTGATATTAGTACCTGCCTTATAGGGTTGTTACAAGAATTCAATGGATTAATATTTAAGTATTTAGAACAGTGCCTGACACATACAGAGCACTCAATAAATGTTGCCTAGTATTATTAAATCATTTATCCCTTTAAGTTTTCCTTTCTCCTTCCTCCTAGGCTATCTATGCCTAGCAGGTACTAGCACACCCACAGGCATTGCTTAGAGACTCACTTAAGACAATCCACTTAGACAAAAGCTCTAAAGCCACTCATCTTCAAACCATGGTCCCCAAACCACAAAGTGCCCCAGGAAAGAATTCCCATAGTCTTCATTATTTTTCCTACAACCATAAAGCACCCATGGAAAAATCTGTACCTTTCCATT